TACAAAGACCATATTCTGCAAGGGCAGTGCAGCCACTGTTGGTACAGGGTCCATGGGGAAGAGAAGGAGGGTCATTTATACATACAGTAGTTACTGTGCCAAGTACTATTTTGGAATTGTGATGAACAGTAAGGACTAAATCTTTGTCCTCGTTAAGCTTGTGCTGTAGGTTGGAAAATTGACAGCGGAAAAAGCAAAGAGACCCAACATTTATAAGGTCAGGAGATAAAAAGATTAGGGAAGACTCTCTGATGTGAATCTTTGAGTCAAGATCTGAATTCAGTGTGGAATCATAAATACAGAGAGCTGCCTTCACTAGAGAGTTAGGAGATCTGAGGTCCAGGCCCTGCTGTAGCCTTTTCCACTTGTGTGACCTGGAAAAATTATTTAAAACTCACTGGGTCTCCAGCTGGCTGTTATACATGAAAGCCATAAGAGCACTGAGCAAAGTAGGTGCTCAGTAAATCTCAGGTGACTGGATGAATATTAGTTACCAAATTATATTTGAACACATTATTCTTTTGTAATATAACCTTAGCTTAAATGCCATATCTGTTAGGATCTTTTGTGTGATCTTGCTAACCTAGAGTTTCTTTTTTCTGAAAACACCTCTCCTACTCTCACATTGGCCCCCTACTAGACTGTTATGTTATCCACATTTTTATTGGCTATGTTCAGCTGGAATCTAGATCTGAAAGTTCCAAATGATGGTAACCAATGATACCATCTACTGAGTGCCTCTAATATCTCAATGGTGGTGACCACTTTATAGTTATTTAAAAAACCTTCTAGGATACCCCTCACCACTGTACCTCTAGGGTTGGGCACAATGCCTGTCACATAATAGATATTACATAAATATTTCAATAAATGAGTCTCAGAAAAGCTAGAAAATCTCTCCGAAGTCACAGGAAATACCTATTTGTTGGGGTCATGGTATGTGGACCCCAGCCTGGTGGACAGCAGACAGGGAAAATGACTCTGGGGAAATCAGGATACTCTATACAAGCTTAAGACATAGAGTCTGAGAATGCCTGGAGAAAGGAGTCCATTACCTCATGCCAAGTGGCAGACTGGGACAATGTAGCAATTCTCTGGCTTCTTCAGAAGGCTTTTATTGATTTTAAACAAAAGTGCATCTGCAAAATGCAAAAATGACAAAAGATAGGGTTAAAAGAATCCCAAGGCCTCAGAAAGATTGGATAGAGAGAAAGGCTGGGTAAAAAGGTAGGGGGTTGCTAACAAATGGCTGATAGCCTATCTTTAAATGAGTCTCAGAAAAGTTAGAAAATGTCTCCAAGGTCACAGAGAATACCTATTAGCTGAAAAGAATTTAAAATGTCTCACAAGAAGGCTTGAGCCATGCTACTCAAAGAAAAATTGGGCCCAACATTTCCTTACTATGAAATCTGAAAGAAAAACCCCTGAGGTCTTAAGACTACTCATACTAAACCTAGAGTAGGGCCTTAGTATGGAGCTGACAGAAAGAAACCAATTGTAAGAACCTAATAACTAGAGGCAAATCTTTGGCAGCGTATTTCAAAGAGAAGCAAGGCATCTTCAGAAAGACAGTCAATGAAGGGATGAGCAAATTATGTAGGCAGCAACTTTGATAAAATTTGATGTACATGTGATATCATGACCAGATTAGCAAGGAACACAGAGTGGAATGCTTTAGAAGGGATTGGCATAAACTGGACAAACAGAGAAATCCTTGAAGAGGAAGAAATAAAATTTGACATTTATGCCTATATTAGCTATAAATCAAAATGAGTCCAGACCAGTCACACCCAATTAATTTTGCTATTTTCATCTCATAAAATCTCAAGAACACCTCTAGAAGGCTGGCTATGATGGCTCACATCTGTAATCCTAGTAATCCGGGACGCTGAAGCAGATAGATTGCCTGAGCTTAGGAGTTTGAGATCAGCCTGAATAAGAATGAGACTCCATCTGTAAAAATAGCCTAGCATTGTAGTGAGCACCTGTAGTTCCAGCTACTTGGGAGGCTGAGGCAAGAGGATCGCTTGAGACCAAGAGTTTGAGGTTGCTGTGAGCTATGACACATCAGCACTCTACTGAGGAACACTGTACCTCAGTGTACAGTGTACCAGACAAAGTGAGACAGCCTCAAAAAACCAAAATAAAAAGAACACTTCTAGATATTGTTATAAGAAATTATCAGGACTAGTTTTTTCCCTAAACTACTAAACAAGTCAAGATAAGCAAACCCCTATTATTACCTGTCTTTTTATTTTAACACTTCTATTGGGTGTGAAGTGTTATTTTGTGGTTTTGATTTGCATTCTCCTGATGATTAATGATATTGACAGTTTTAAAATGTGCTTATTGGCCACTGATATACCTTTTTTTAAAAAGTATCAGTTCAGATATTTTACCCACTTTTAAATTCTTTTTATTATTGAGTTCTCAGAGTTCTTTACATAAGTTCCAATAGATACAAGTCTCTTATCACATTCAAGATTTACACGTATTTCTCCCACTCCATAGTTTCTCTTCACTTCCTTAATGGTGTCCTCCGAAAACGAAGTTTTTACTTTTGATAAAGTCCAATCTGCATATTTATGCTTTTGTTGCCTGTTTTTGGTGTCATATTTAAGAAACCTTCACCTAATTAAAAGTCACAAAGACTTACACCTATGTTTTCATCCGAGTTCTTTAGTTTTAACTCTTATATTTATGATAAAATGTATGATCCACTTTGAAATCATTTTTTACATGGTGTGAAAAGGAGTCATATGTTGTTTATGTGGATATCCAATAGTTCCAGCAGACTGTTGACTATTGCTTCCCCAGTGAATTGTCTTGGTTGATAATTATCACCATGGGGGAGACTGATGATGAAGGCTATGAAGACGAGTATGTGCTGGAAGATATGGAAGTTACTGTAGCCAATCACATCCAAAAGGTCATGAAACTGAACTCTGAAGTGGCCTGGAATGAGGTAGGGGATGAGTATAAGAAGGAGGAAACATCTCCCTTGTCTACCATCAAGACACTTGAAGAGGCTGTGGGCAATATTGTGAAGTTCTTGGGAATGCACCCTTGTGAGAGGTCAGTGTGCTGGATCACAAAAAACACCCACATGTTGCTCCTAGCTGGTATGTTTCAGGGTGGGCATGACATCCTGGTGTGTTCCTGGCTGCTGCTTTTGGATACAGTAACAATGCAAGTGACAGCTCAAGTTCAGAGGACCTGCCAGTAGACACTGTCTTGGCATCTGTGGGCTAAGGGGCCAGCCTGCATAGGCCCTGCTCCTGCCCTTTGCCCCCAACACTATGCAGAAGTTATGCCTCTCTTGTCAGAACTGTTGGAAACACCTTCCCAAGCCTCTGTATTCAAACACAATTAGGGATCATTGCTAGTATTTTTTTTTAATTCTATCCCCCAATCTAGGACTGCTGGTATATCAATTGTCTACTTGACAATTATTTGAGCATACATGTGAGGTCATATTTTTGGGCTCTCCATTCTATCTCATTGATCTATATTAAGCTATATGTTAGTAAGGTTATATAATCTAGTGTGTATGTACATATATCTTTATACCAGGACAACATACTCTTGATTACTGTAGTTTTGTAGTGTTTAAAATCAGGAAAGGTGAACCATCCAATTTTTTTAAGTTTGTTTAGGCTATTCTATGTTCCTTAAGTTTCCACAAGAATTTTAGAATCAGTTTATCAATTTCTGCAAAGAAACCAGTGGAAGTGATGGGGACTGCACTGATCAATTTGGGAGCAATACCATCTTATGTCTTCCTGTCCATGAACATGGGATATCTTTCCATTTATTTGGTTTTAACTTCTTTCCACAATGTTTTATAGTTTTATGAGTATAATTTTTCCACTTTTGTTAAATTTATTAAGTATTTATTTTATTCTTTTACATACTGTTGTAAGTGGAGTTGTTTTCTTAATTTTATTTGACATTATTCACTGTTGGATATATAAAAATATAATTATTTTCGGTATACTGCTTTTGTATTCTGCAAACTTGAAGAACTCATTTATAAGTTTTAATAATTTTTAGTGGATTCTTTACCATTTTTGATATATAAAAATCATATAACCTGCAAATATATAGTTTTACTTTTTCCTTTCCATAAATTAATGCAAGACTTAATATTTGGAAGTATTAAAGCATAGATTCATTTTGAAAACAAAAATGGGGGAGGGGAGGAGTGCTACAGAACCAGAAAAAAAAAAAAGCAAAAAAACTAGAAAGCAAGAAAATTGGTTCCCACAGGGTTAATCACTGCGTGAACCTTAGCAAATTTCTAACCCTCTTTTTATTTATATACTTGACTTTCCAAATCTTTTCCCATTTGATATATCTGTAAACTTTTGAGGATATGTAAGGAGTTACTTTGCTGAGTTTATTCAGCCATTATAATCATATTTTTTACTAAATATATTGACATACTCTCTCCTTTTCCAGTTTATTATTCTCCCTTGCAAAGGAGAATAAGATTACCAAATGTGGAAGAGCACACTAATGGTATTTGTCCATTAAGGGGATATATAATTCTCAGGAAAAGCCTAATGGGAGACACTGTAAGCATGTAGGCAATTACAGAGTTAACCTCTTGGGAACAAGCCAGAATACAAATATTACAAGGTTGTGGAAGTAAAAGTAAAAATTACCAAATGAATGAAGCATTTACTCTATCAAGTACTAACATTCATAAAACAATCTAAATAAGGATATTAAAATTTATAAAAATGTGTTATAAAAATATACATGATATGTAGAAATATAAAATTTTTACCACAGAGGATTGCCTTTTTAAAACAAACTTTTAGGTAACATTTTTAATTACAATTTTGATTAAATGGGCAAAAATGTTTCATGACATATAGAACCACATTAAATTTTTCTATTGAACATTAACTAGACATTTTCTCTCTACCTCTGCTAATGCTGATAGTACTAGAACAGCAAGTTATACATAGTACTTAAGTATTTTCAATTTCATTTCAAGTGCTTTGGAACCTTAGTTTTAATCTCTGGCTTAAAGGAAGAAAACTATCCATATAAGTAGGGTTGTCTTCTTTCTTATGACATTGTAGAAAACTCAGAGAACTTTTTGCTTGATCTTGGGAACAGTTTTCTTCATTTCCATCTATTTTATTAGACCTAAAACACTGTTCAGTTTTTTCAACATGTACCTTAGGGTTACTTAACTTGTTATAGTCAATTTTTTTGACTTGGACTGGATTATGCTTCTGAGACCTGTGCTTCACTTCTTGAGCTGTGTGCTTAGCTTTACCAAAAACTGGGGTACTTTCTTCATCAGAGGAATGTATGTCAAGGCAAACACTCTTCTTCATCACAGTTTTCTGAGTGGTATGCATGTCGATTTTTCTTCTATGATCTACAGCAGTATTTGGTGGCTTAGCTTTAATGTGGGAGGTCTTCCCTGCTGGATTATTAAAAGAATAAGGCATAGAAGTATTGGCTTTACAGTTTCCTTGAAGCAGTTGGTCTCCTTTTAGAACTTTAGGGTTTCTGGATTCATTTTGCAAATGAATTCCTAGAAGATCCTTTGAAAGACATGATGGGCAATTAGAACTACACTTACCAATACAAGATTCTCTTCCCCTAAGTAGGGCTGTTCTCAGGTTGACATCTGGTTGTATATTATCCTGAAGATATAATGATTTTATATATATTCTTTCCTTTAAAGGCAAATCCTGAAGACATAAATCACTAATGCCAGGAAGTAGATGCTCTTCAGGACTAATCGTATGACGATCCCAATCTAAGACTTTATTGATGTTTGTGGTGCACCTTTCTGATTCAAGTTCTGATTTTAAACCATGTGAGAAAGTATTCCTTTGAATAGCTGAGGAATTACTAAAAGAAGTACCCTCCCAGTCAATGGTACTCAACTGTAGATCATCAATTACAGATGTATTATGAGATGAGGTACTGGGTTGATTATGTTCTGAAGTTAAAGACTCATTGACAGCTGTAATTTGCTGTGTAGTCAAAGGTCTTGGAGAAGACATGAACTGCTCTTCACAGGGAGAATCTTCAGGTAAAAGCAAGCTATTCAATGAGGCAGACGTACATTCCTGTGGTAATGTAGGATTAGCAGAAATTTCCATATTTAACTTGGAATTTGGTTTAGGAAAGATTTCACATGTGGGTTTTAAAGTCATGCATGACTGAAAGCTCATTACATTATCTGATTCTGGCAAATTGTTTTCTTTAGGCATAATTTTCATACCTGAAAACAAACAAACAAAGAAAAAAATATATAATTCATGTCTATTTTCTTCACTTTACCTTAGATTTAAAAAACTAAGAGCTCAGACTGGAAATCTTCTATATGACTGGAATTTTTGGCCTGTTTTTTTGTCTCAGTGTATTCCTACAAATAGTATAAAATATTTTCCTCTGGACACAATGTTATAATTGAGTTGTTTTTCTCACTGAGTTCTGGGAGATAAACAAAATGTAATTAAAACCCAAAATATGATATGCATGCTAGTGGTTCAATAAACGCTAGTATCATTATTACTACTAACACTTGGTTAAGTAGTAGACACAGAGGATAGTTTACTCCTGGCTTTTCAACTTAAAAAAAATATGTGAAGACAAAGAAACAAGAGCACAACTCTAACTCTTGAATTTTTTAGAACTTTAAGTAAAATTTAGAGAAAATAGAAGCAAACAGAACAGATAGCTCTTCTATATTTGTGTGTGGCATAAACAGATACCAAACCCGATACTTACTTTTTTGTTTCTTCCCTTTAATCTCTAACTTTTGTTTTTGATAAATAGCAACAATCTCGGGATAGGCTGCTTCAAATAATGATTCTTCTTCAATTGTTAGAATTGATTCTCCAGGTTCTTCTATAGCATAATGTTCTAAAAGATTAAAAATATAGCAAAGCAGCCTTACTTACAAATCTAAAAAATTCAGTCTTTCCAGGTAACTAAGTTTATCAGGTAAACTAGGTCATCCACAAATGGAAAATTCATAGCAAATCTTTCATTATAAGATCTCTGTTCTAGTCATGTTGCTACTAGTACAAAAATGTATTTTCTTTTGTCTGGCAAGAACTGGTAGGAGATTCTTTTTAAATTAGAAATTTAAGTTTTTTTACTTCAGAGGTAGTAACAGCAGCTTAGAGAATGGAAAACTTTGTTTAGATAAGGTTGGTTGGTTTTAATTTAGTCTAGTGTTAAAATTCTAGCAATGGATAATAGACAGTTTCTAAAACAACCTCAGCTTTCTTTAGTGACGGCTTCTGAAAAGACCAGAATTGAAAAGCGTCATCGAAAATATTACTATTTTTCCAATTGCTGTTTCATAGGTTATCAGTCTCTTGAGCTCAGTCTTACTGGACTCACAAGCATCTGATAAATGGAAATGAGAATGTTAATATGCAAATTTACAGTATGATATACAAAAAGTAGACTAGATTTTTGTGTGTATTCTACATTTGGGTAAAACTATATAAAAAGCCAAATTATAATGAAAAATTAATAAGCTTAAAGCAGAAAGAAAGGGAACAGGTAATCTTAAAGTGTTTCTTAGTTAATCTAGCTTGGCATACATTTTCTCCTTAAGAGAGAGCTTTCATAAGGGTAAGTGAAAATGGGTACTTAATCCTCTAGACAGGAGAGATACATCATCAATCTGGGTTAACGTCATTTTCTTTCCTGAAAATGTACTAGTTGGTGGAATTGTTCTTAAACACTTTCAGAATTCTTCAATCTTCTATCTTCCTATTATTGTTTACAATGGTTTATTTCTTTGTAGTTTTATTTTTCACAATTACCTACAGCTTAAACTTTCATTGACAAATCTGTTTGTTCTCTTACTCATTCAAATAGAGTCATACAATCTGTAATTTCAAAGCCAAACAGAAATCAACTTGGGGTCATTTTCCATTTTAAATGTTCTGTGCTTCTGTTGTCTCCCGTTTGGAAGCTAATTCGGAGGTCACTGTATCTCTGTAGCAATGATTAGTAACTTGACAATTATAAATCTCCATAAAGACTAAAGAGAGACTAATCCCAGGTGTGATTCAAACAACCTCAATTTCTTTCAGTTCAGCTATACATAATGAAATCCAATGACCAGACCGTTTGTAAAAGAATTTCCTTGAGAAATATAAATTAAAACTATTTTGGTATTATTTTCTTAGACATTACAAAAGAAATGTCAAATTACGATATTAAAATCACTTAAAGTTTATCATATTTATAATGCTATTAGTCAAAGTCTACTTAAGATAACACAGGTAAACTATAAAATTAATTCATCATGCATGAGACAGGTTTCATTTTTCAGGTTTCATTTTTATTTTTTCATACATGTGTTATATATGTGTATGTACACGTATGTATGTGTATATATTTTCAAATGTTCTAAATTAAAAATTTTCCTTGAAGTAAATACATACCAGGTTTTTCCCATTCTATTTCAAAGCAATGTACTCCGTTTCTGATTCGGGTCTTAACAATTCTGAAAAACAAATTCATCTAATGAAGTATAATTGCTTAAGTTATTTAAATTTTTTTAATTAGAAAGTTGAATAATTTAATTTAATTTCTATTTATTTTATCTAAGTAAAAATATTACTGCCTTGTTATTCCTTTAACTATTTTATTCAAAACATAATTTTGCTGTTAGCCACACAGGGTTTTTAACTATTAGATCTTCTCATTAGACTGCTCCTTTCCCTCTTATGTAGTGTTCATCTTTTCCATAATAATGATTTTTTTGTTTTAAAGTCTACTTTGTTATATCACATTGATAAGTACACTATTTGCCTAGTCAGTCTTCTTAAATGTTTATTTTCAAAGTTTGTACATATTGTTCTGCATGTATCTTGCAAGCAGAATATTACTTAATTTTACTTATGCCATATAATCTCTTTTAATAACTATGTTTAATCCATTTATGTTCATTGTGATTACTGATGTCCTTGGACTCATTCACACATCCTATTTTGTTTTTTGTTACCAGTCTTTTGGTTGCTACTTCCCCCGTCTTCCTTCCTGTATCCTTTTGGTTTGATAGTTTTTTTTTTTTTTTTTTTCCTTTTTTAAAATTTGAGACAGTTTTGCTCTATCAGCTGGGCAAGAGAGCCATGACCTCAGCTTAGCCCAACACAACCTCAAACTCCTGGGATTAAGCAATCCTCCTGCCTCTGCCTCTTGAGTACCTGGGACTATAAGGCCCTGACACAACAGTCAGCAAATTTTTTTATTTTTAGTAGAGATGGGGGTCTTGCTCTTATTCAGGTGGTCTCAAATCTTAAGCTCAAGGGATCCTCCCACCTAGGCCTCCCAGAGTGCTAGGATTATAGGCATGAGCTACCATACCTGGTCTTCTAGGTTGTATTTTTAAGATGTGCTCTTAAATGTTTAAATGTATACTTTGCCAGATTTAGTTTATCATCATCATGTATTAATCATTAAACGGTTTGCAAATATTGCATAATTTTTTCTAGTTAGTTATTAAATCAGCCAAGTATATTTTATCAATTTCTGTGTTGACCACTGATTGTTATAATCCACATCTTCTTCTCAGTGGGTTTTTTTCTTGCTAAAGTGTATTGTTTAACAATGCTTTTAATGAGGGTGTATTAGTGGTAAACTCTCTTAGTCTTCATATGTCTGAAAATGCCCTTCCTGTGAACAATGTTTTAATGATTTCAAGACAGAAAATTATTTTTACTCAGTACTTTGAAATATTACTCCATCATCCTTCCCATTATGAGATGTTATGAAAGATGTGTGCTGTCAGACTGTCATTCCCTATCAATGTTTTATTTTGAAAAAAAATTTCAAACCTTTAGGAAGCTGCATGAATAGTACCATGACTAGTCACATACCTTCATAGAGATTCACCAGTTGTTAATATTTTGCCACATTTACTTTCTCCATTTGAAAGTTAGTTACAAACATGTCTCATGACATATTATCCCCTCATTTTGTAGTTTATATAATATTCTCCTACATAGCCACACTACAACTGTCACACTCAAATTTAATACTGGAGGCACAGAGAGAGTTATAAACAATTTCAAATGAAGAGAAAGAGGGTATTTATACCTTACACTGCCTTTGTGTCTCCATCTCTCTCTTTTTACTTGTGAGACGGACCCATTTCCAACTCTCCTCAGAAGTGCTCTAAGCTTTCTGTCTTACATAAAATTTTTCTTTGCTAAATAAAATTTCTTTCACTATACTAAAAAAAAGAAAGAAAGAAAGAAATTTAACACTGATACACTATCTAGGCCATATTCAAGTTTTTCCAACTGTCCTTAAAAAACATCCTTCAGGGCAAAAAAAGAAAAAAATCCAGAATCCAAATAAGACCACAACATATTGACGTATTGCTTGAATTGTCATGCCCCTTTAATCTTTTAATTCAGAAAAACTTTCTAACTTTTTTGAGACAGAGTCTCACTATGTCACCCTGGGTAGAGTGCCATGGTGTCACAGCACATAGCAACCTCAAACTCTGGGGCTTGAGCAATTTTTCTTGCCTCAGCCTCCCAAGTAGCTGGGACTACAGGCCCCTACCAAAATGCCTGGCTATTTTTTTGGTAGTTGTCATTGTTATTTGGCAGACCCAGCTGGATTTGAACTCACCAGCTCCGGTGTATGTGGTTGGCACCCTAACCTCTGAGCTATAGATGCTGAGCCAACTTTCTTTTTTTATGACAATCATATTTTTGAAAAGTCCAGGATGGTATTTCTGCAGAATGTTCCATATTTTGGATTCACTAGATTGTTTTCTCATGATTGGATTCACATTAAACTTTTTTGGTAAAAATATATAGATGATGTGGTGTCTTTCTCAGTTTACCATCTTAGGAGGCATGTGATATTAGTCTATTGGCCTATGGCATATTGGTCATTAATCATTTAATTAAGCTGATGTCCACTGTATTTCTCTACTTTTGAAGATATCATTTTTTCTTTGTATTTAATTGGTAGTGATAACATGAAACTACTATTCTTTTTCTCTAGCAATCTTTACCCAATGATTTTAGCATAAACTGATTTGGCACTTTTAAAGACTTTTCTTTTATCCTTAATGTCTACAATATGTCTGGGTATGGACTTATTTTTATTTACTGGGCTTATAGTTGGAATATATTTTTTTCTGATAACTTCTGCCTTTCTTAAATTTTGGAAGATTCTCAGAAGTCATCTCATCAAAAATTACTTCACCTCCCCTCTGTTGGCTTCTAGAAAGAAATCTGAAACTCAAATTATTATCCACATTAAAACTACTCTAAAATATTTTTTTATGTAATATTGTTAAAAATACTTTTTTACATAATAAAAGGTCTTCGAGATAATACCTTCTGTATGACTTGATTAGTATGGTCTTCCAATTCACTAATTCTCTTTAACCAAGTTCAGCCTACAGTCCACTGCTTTTTATTTTAACAACTATTTTTCTTTCTTTCTTTGTTTTGAGACAGAGTCTCACTCTGCTGCTCCAGGCTAGAGCACCATGGTGTCAGCCTAGCACACAGCAATTTCAAACTCCTGCCTTGGCCTCCCAAATATCTGGGACTACAAGACCTGCTGCAACGTCTGGCTCATTTTTTCTACTTTTAGTAGAGACAAGTTTTTGCTCTTTCTTAGGCTGTCCTGAGCTCAAGGGATTCTCCTGCTGTGTCTGCTCAGAGCGCTAGGAATCAGGTGTGTACTACTGCGGCCAGCCAACAACTATTTTTCTTAAGATTTTAAGTAGTTCACTTTTTATATCCATCCATTTAAAATTATTTCTATCCATTTCTGTTTTATAATTTCACCTTCGGTTGCTTATGGATATATGTCTCACTCATTTCATTAAGCATTCCAGCATTCTAAAAGGCAAGAAGCAAAAGCCATTTCCAGATTGTTTTATAAAACTAGTTTAATCAGTAGTGAATTTATGATCTAAATGTAGATTTTTAAAATACCACATTTTTTCATATGTTAAGCTTTTCTCTTCTTTTGAATTTTAGCTGCCCTCATTTCCACCTCTCTAGTCCTTTTTGAGTAGTTACCAGCAGGCTTTCTGGGCTTCAGGCAGCATTAGTTGGTTTCTGTCACCTTCTCCAGCCTCTAATCTGATAGGAACAGAGGAATCCCGCCCTTGCTACTGGGCTTTAAGGAATAAGCCTGACTCGTGGGCTTTAAGGAATAAGCCTGACTCGTGGACTTTTGGTCCCTATTTTTCTTTTACCCTCTGGGAACTCACCTCCTGGATGACACTGCTGCTCCTAGATCTGGGGTTCTACAAAACCACTTCCAGTCCCCCCACACTTTCTTTACATTTTTCTTCCTTTTCTGGTACATTGAAATACTTATATTGTTAAGTCTGGCTATATCTTTTTAAATTTCTTTCTTTTTGTAATCTATTGTGAAGAATATTTTAGATCCATTTCAGATAGTCAAATGGAAACACAAACTCTTCACCACGCCACACTTTACGTTACCGAGTTGGCTGTAGTTGATCAGAGCTCCTTCTACCAAGCTTTCTTTCTGTCATGTCATAATGGGTCAAAAGCACCAACAATTTCTCACATGCATAGTGATTGGGCCACTCCATTTTTTCGAGAGTAAATCTCTGTATACATAATGAAGAAAAAACATGATTTTGTTATCTTTTGGAGACAAATAGCACTCTTAGGTGATACTACTTTTTCCTTTAGAATTAACATTAGTTAAAATAGTATCAATTAGAATATTCTTTTTGTTATCTTTTGGAGACAAACAGCACTGTAAGGTGATACTGCTTTTTCCTTTAGAATTAATATTAGTTAAAGTAGTATCAATTAGAATATTCTGAGAAAGAACAATGAGGCTCTAAGGAGGAAGACTGCATGATGATTAAATGTTAGGGTTTTCAGTTTGAATGCCCGTTCAATATTTCCTAGATGTTGGGTAAGTTACCTAGCCTCTTTTAGCCTCAGTTTTTCCGTCTATAAAGTAGAAATAATATCACCCTGCTCACAGATTATAAAGATTAAGTAAGATTACATATTAAGTGTTAAATATAACAGTATATTTTAAGTGTGCAATAAATGTTGGCTGTCATTACTAATATGGTTGTTGGCAGGGATGAGTTATAAATAGCTCTAATTTATTGAGCGACTCTGTGCACCTAGCTACTGTATTTGAGATTAACATAAATAATTTCATTTAATCTTCATGGTGACTTCCATGAGATAAGTAATAGTACTTCTATTTTGTGGACAATACATATCCAGGGTCACACAATACATGAAATACTGTCCAAATATCAATTTAGGTCACTGACTTGAAATTTCACTGCTATAGTAATACGTGTGTACTTGACTCTGATACTTTCTCTTATGAGCCCCTCCTCCTCCAACACATCTATGAACATAATACATCCGTACATGATGATTAAGGTTTCTTTTAAAGAACAGCATAATTGTGTAGTTTGTCATATGTTATATGATTATGGTCACTGTGTGGCAAATGAGAAAGATTAGAAATAAATATTGAAAAATATACACTAATAGTTGTCTGTTCTGACTTTTAAACATCCTCTCTGATCAAAGTGAATATCCCTTTCTACCTTTCTAGTATCTAACATCATACTACAAAGCAAGAATTTATTTTCAAATACCTGAAACAATAGTAAATCAGGTCTTTGGTACCTGATTACCTTCGCTAATTTATCCTTGTTTAAAAGAAATTCTTGAATAACCTAGCAAGAAAAAAAGAAAATAGGAATTGAGACTTCAGGACTTGTAAGAAAGTTTCTAAAATAAATACATAGTGGAATTATTGGTTGTTACCTCATGGAATGGGAATCCCTCATAACTGCAAGCTTTTCTGTAAATAAATTATATACATATTATTACTATAATCAGGTAATTTATACAGACTCTGAAATCATCCACTTCCATTTTAATAAAAAATGTCCATGTATATAGTACGTTATATAACTATCAAGCATCTTTTTGAGTAATATAGTAACTATATATTACTATCTCCCGTGATAACTTGAGTTTTTGAACAGAATCAAGAAGAGGATTTTGTGAAATATGTGACTGGACATGTGGGAAAATATTATGTGGAACTAATTCAACCAGAGGTGTGTGTACAGGTCATGCCAGAAAAAAATGAGCCTTAAAAAAAGCTTACTTCTTAATATTGTTCTCTACTCCGCTTAGTTGCCTTTCATGTTCAGTAAGGTGCCACTCACAAGGACAGCGGTATTCATAATCATGTGGTTCACAGTATCTATCACTGTTACATAACCTGCATCCATTACGTTCGTGATCCTTAGGTGAACCTTTATGGAGGCAGAAAAAAAGTATGATTTTTATTGCTCTTTAGAACTACTTTCTATGTACATTTTTTTGCCTGTATCCAAATTTTGAAGAATTCACATTGCCTCGCACAGTACCTAGGATATATGTAGAAGGGTTTCAACACATTTAGGTTGAATAGAGTAACTGACACCATAGGAATTCTTAGAATAGAGTAGGAGTTATTCCTATCACATGACACTTCTACAAAGAATTACTCTTCCATCTGACAGTGTTAATTTGTAACTCAAAATAATACTTTTACAATAATCAACAATAGAACTTTCTGGCTTAAGTGGAGACTATATGCAAGAAAAGTAGGATGCAATTATTAGCAAGAAAGATTATTCACTTAATGGAATAATTCTAATAGAATGTTTTTTTTAATGAGCATATATTAAAAGAATGTAGTAATTACCTCTGCCAGTCTAGTTCTCAGTTAATAATTTTTAAACTATGTTTGGAACATAAAATTATAACTGCAGCATGTGTGGGAACCTAATTCCCTTTAGAAGGAAAGTGTGATGATTTTCAACACTGTTTTGAAAATATGAAAGAGCATTCACACTTGGTATAACTTAAAATTGTCAATTTTAAGGTACCAAAAAAACTACAGAATCACATCTTATTTATAAAATCATTTTCTTCCATGATTTCATCTATAATTTGGTAGTAATAAAAACATACTAAGAAAAATCAGTAAAATAGAATTTCTCTTAAAAGATAAGCTGACATGATATTCTAATCTCTTGAGATAAAAGGCCTTTCTGATCCAGTGTATGCTCAGCCATATCTTTTCTTATCAAGTCTAATGAAGAAGATCCAAACTATTGTTGATAATAGTGAACACATACTGGAAATTAGTTTTAATAAAGTCACTATCTTCACATGCAATAAAAATGTATTACAGGACAATGATCAATCATTTAAGCATATAAATATAAATCACTGATACAAAAAGAAATAGTTTCAGTTCTATTTTCCCTGAAGACTTACGAGTATTAAACACACACACACAGATACCTGCTATATTGAGTACCTTCTATGTATATATAACAATACTGATTCTAAGCAATTCCCAGTCTAGTGAGGAAGATAATGTGAAACCCTTAAGGTGCTATTAGTGTAGGTTTGGAAAAAGGGCTATGAGAACTAGAACAAAACATATACACATTTTAAGAATGAAAAAATCTTGTATTAAAATTGTAATACTCAAATCATGTTTGACTTCTGCAATTACAAGAGATACAAGATACAGTATATAAGAGAACAAAGGTTATCAATATATAGAGTATTACAAGGCATTTTTTGGTACCCTCTGACATATTCCAAATTGGATTTCTGTAGTAAACAGATGATAATTACATTACATTACTGCATTCAATAAACACTTATTGAGTACCTATATTTATCATATATAACATAACACCTGACTCCAAGCAATTCCCAGTCTAGTGACGAAGATTACGTGAAATCTTTCAAGGTGCTATTAATGTAGATATGGAAAAAAGACCATGAGAACTAGAACAAAAACATGGGTGTCAGACATTGACATGCTAGAAATATGACTCCCTGTGTCTGCTTACCTGGATGGGAACATACGGAGCAATGAGCTGGTTTTTTAGCAACCAGTGGTTGTGGGTTAGAGTTATAAGATGTTTCCTTCCATTGATTAAACCTTAATAGAAAATGGTTTTTTAAAAAAGAAAAACAAAATAAGGTCACAAAAATGCCCTGATCTCAAATGTCAGTCTATTCTTTTTCCTTTCATCTGAATAATTATTTCCCCTTTGGTTAGACAAAGTTGCTGACCTAATCTAGGAAAAACCCTCAGTCACAAGTTTAAATGTGGCCCCAACGACAGCACAACTGCAAGACAGAAAACAGTGTGAGTATCTACATATGTGTATTTCTATATAAATGTATATACAGTGGGTGCCAAAGAATGTATATAAATCTTAAGAAAGGAAAAGCCTGTATTAAAATTGTAATACTCAATATATACTGATAAAAGATGAATTTAAGTCATATTTGACCTCTTAATAATTACACAAGTCAAATGTGACTTTAGTATTTCAATTTTAGTACAGCTTTTTCTTTCTTAAAATGTCTATACATTTTGTCTCTTTTGGTACCCTCTGTATATTTATTTAGCTTTTTTAAAAAGGAGAATCTTGTTAGTCAGCAATATGTGAGTCGAATGATTTTCAAATGTCTGTTTTTGATGTCATTGTGTCAGAGTATAAAACAAACAGTTTTGAACATGAACATTTCTGGGTATCAAAAGTAAGGGTGGGCCCGGTGCAGTGGCTCATACCTGTAATCCCAGCACTGTGGAATGCTGAGGCAGGTAGATTGCTTAAGCTCAGGAGTTCAAAACCAGCCTAAGCAAGAGTGAGACCCTGTCTCTACTAAAAATAGGAAAAATTAGTTGAGTATTGTGGTGGGTGCCTATATTCCCAGCTACTTGGAAGGCTGAGGCAAGAGGATTGCTCAAATTCATGAGTTAAGGTTTCTGTCAGCTATGATGCTACAGCACTCTACCCTCTATCCAGTCTCAAAACAACAACAACAACAACAACAGCAAAAAAACCCAAGGGGGTAAAGAGCTGAAGAGCAATATAAAAGATAAAACTAAATAAAACATTAATCTTCTAGGTAAAAAAGTTATTTCAAATCTAGGATATTTGAAATGATTTCTTAAATCTCTTATGCAGATAGGAAAATACTATTACCTATTTAATAAAAGATTTTAAGAGAAATGTATATTGCTGATAAGATATCTACTAAGTAAAACTTAATTTCATATTGGCTAACATTTCAGGTAAAGTAAAAAGCACCAAAGGCACAGCTAGGTATTAGTCACAAAACATAAACGTTCTGACTTATGTTCCTCTACTTAAAGAGGTCAAAGTTTTAATAAAAAGCCAAATTCTCTCCTCAGCTTATTGTTGTAGTATCTGGAACTTTAGGAATTTCTAACTTATGTACTACAAAGACTAGGAATACGCTTGCTAAAAACTAGCATTAATTGCTACTGGATAAACAATAAATAGAAATTTAAAAATTTAAAGTGACTAGGAGAAAAAAAGTCAGTATAGATCAATAAAGATTAGAATAACAGACAATTACAAAACATATTATTTTATTATTTTTAAGTGTTAAGACAAGGGTCTCCAATCTGCAGCCCTGTGGATCCCAGGCTGATTTTGTGAGCACTTTTTTTTTTTTTTTGCTTATCTGTGATGTCAGATATTACCTAAAGTATGCATAAATCTTTTTTTTTGCTAATCCGTTTTCTTTAATGTTTGTGTATTTAATGTATGGACCAAGACAACTTTTATTCTTTCACTATATACTATTCTTCACAATTCCCAAATGATTCCTTAACTCATGCCTAAGTAAACCTTTCCTTTCCTGCTTTGGCACAGTAATCACTGATGTCAATAATGGATTCATTGAAGTCTTAGATTTATCAATAGCTTTACAACTGAAAGAGAAGCATTACAGGGAAGAGTATTGTGATTCAAAATACTTCTTAGGGTCATTTCTTTTTCATTTCTACCTCTTAATGTTTCTTTTCAGGCACTTGCCAACTCAAACCTTTTGGAGGCCAAGACTGTTTTACATGCTCCAGTACCCTCCTACTCCTTTAGTTTACATCTTGCCATCATTAATGCTAATTTTCATAAACCATTGCTTTCATCAAGTAAATATCATTCACACATTTAAAAACAGTAAACAACATGGTTTATAAGCGTCAATACGATCTGTATCTTGTTTTAAATACTCAAATTATAAGGTCTAAAGGGATTGAGAGTTAACATTTTACTAAATGTGTTGCTACAGAACAAAGGACAGTGGAGTAAATTAAATTTTGATCAAATGTTGCTTATTATTTAATATTTGTGACATGCCACAGACATTTCTTTTTTGGAAAATAAAGTATAATATCAAAGTAGTAAATGCAAAATTATTTCAATGTCATGTTTATCTTTACCTGGTGGCAAAACAGTCTAACATAGCCAGAAGTAAAATGACCATGTTTATAAATAAATGTACTGACGTCACACTAATTGTGTTTCATAAGCTTGTAATACATTCAAATATATATATGTAGTATAGCTTAAAACATACAGTTCAATCCTTTCTTTGGAAAACTTCAAAATAAACAAAAATAAATTATTTTAAATGAAAGTACAGTTTAAAAATATTAAAGCCCTTTTTTGGGAAACATATCCTTTTTTGCAATATTCACTATTAAGTTCAACAAGAATAAAAGTCCAATGTTATAAGCAAAGTAATTTTTAGTTACCTCTGAAGTAAACTCTGCCCTTTCAAAATCTGTATAAGTTTTAATGCTTGCTCTTTTCCAACTCCAGGGACTCCCTTTTACAAAGTGGGAAAAAAATTTCAAATGTTAATCACTAGGAATAGTTAAAAATGTAATACATTAATTCAATGGGAAGTTGTGTAGCTGAAAGAAAGAATGAGGTAACTCCAAGTATTGATAAGATGCTCAAGATACATTGCTATGTGTAAAACAAAGATTGCACAATGGCATTGATCTGGATTTGTAAATTAAACGATAATTACATCATCAGTCTATGTAAACAAAGTATTCAGAGGGCTGTATGCCAAACCACTGACAGTGTTTATTTTAGGGAAAGCAGGGACATAATTTTAGAGCCCTTTCACTATGTTAATTATTTTGCTAATATTTTAATTTGACATAACTTTGTTATATTTGTTAATCATGAAGAAAGCAAGTTCACTTAATTATATGAACATTAAATAGTCGAAGTTGCAGACATCAAAAGAAAACAAAGGAGGGCTCCAAGTTAACCCTTGATGTTCAAAAGTTAAATAAAACAAGTTTGAATTTCCAACACATGAAAATTAGAGCATGAACACACACAGATGTCCTAATTTCTAGTTTGAGTTTGCCAGCTCCTATAAATGTTTATGAATATGTTTTCATTAGCAGGGCTGCTAGTTGGCCTGTATGCACTAGGATAGAAACACTAGTGCTAAAATTCTTTCAAATGGGTTAGTAAATAGCTACTGCCCAAACATCCTGAGTGCCTGACTCAGGTCTTCTTCATTTTAACCTGAATGCCCCAACGACTCACCTATACCCAGGATGTGGATACTAAAAAGCTAGTTCATGGCACAAGAGAGGGAACCCAGAAATTTATTCCTTATCTGCAGCCCATGTTCTGGCATACAAGTTGTTAGATACATTGAATGTCATTCTTCCTGTGTTAGCATTTGGGTACATCTTTAACTTTATGAAGAAAAATTATGTTAGTACGTAGTCTTAAAAATCTTTTAAGTAAGGACAATATATATAGATACCAGTTTTTGTTACAAAAGATACAAAAGTTCAAAATAAGTAAGACTAATGTACAATATAAACACCAATGTAGTGAAAGCTGGATTCTGTGAGTTCAAGTTAGCAATTTTTTCTTACATTCAACACAGGGTTGTTGCTAGATTTTAATCAAGACATAACTACATGTGGGAAGTGGGAATCTTCTACTTTAGAGGGAGAATTACAACGAAATAAATAATGATTTGTGGTATTTAAAGAGTTTCTTTCTTCCTGTTTTCTTAATCAGTTTCAAAATAACCACTTATTTCTCTATTTTGGCCACTTTGATATAAATGATTTTACTATCCTGCCTTATTTTTCTTTCTCCTACGCTTGGGTTAAAAAGAAACTAATGCCATTTTCCTTTATACTTCTCTTGGAAATAGAGGTAAAATGAAGGATTTGCAAGGACACAGAGACAATCAGTAGGAATATAATTATGAGACAAGATAATAAGACCTTCAATACCAGTCATTTTATATTTTTAAACATCATATTTGAGAAAATGGGAATTCCTAATTCATCAGTCACCTATGATGTCTATTTGTTATATAGCACTAGATTGTGCATCCTAAGATATAAATTAAATGTTTTCATGAATAAAACCTAATTCAATGATTCCATTCATGGAAGTATGAACAGCTTAGCCCAATAATCATGTTGCATAGCAACAGTAATAACATTAAGCATGTGTACATCTGGAAAGCTATGATTGATACTGAAAACTGAAAAACAGACAAAATAGTGATAGAAATTAACTTTCCATGATACAAGAAAAGAATAATTCCTACATTTTTTAAAAAAGGGTAGTTGAACTTGAATGTGAATCTCTTAATCTATAGTAACAGTTTACTGGCATTCAAGCTGTGGTACTACTTACTATTCAACTTGTGTTTATAACAGTCAGTGCCACAAGTCAGCCTTTCAATGCCATCTGAAATACTGATTATTTTAGTCACTAAATAACTTATTATGCCTAAAATTATATTTTGAATTAGATTCTTAATCATACAACCATATCATATTCATATTTATGTGGCATATATGGTACCAAAAAGACATTATGAATCACAAATTAATATGGTAATTTTGGCTTGCCTTCGGGAGATAATCACAGCCAAGAAGTATTGCTAGTCCAACCAGAGCATCTCTATCCAAACCTAGTTTACTCTTGACAGATGACATTGTATAACAGTCAACATGTGGATCCTAAAGAAAGGACAGATTTAGTTTAATCTCCAAAAGTAAATATTTATATATTAAACAACATTATAAACACAATCTATCAAAGTTATCTTTAAATATTTAATTACTCACCTGGCAGGTGGCTCATGCCAGTAATCCCAGTACTCTGGGAGTTGTGCACAGTGGTAGTGTCCCTCAATGGGGCAGAAGAGCCACTAGCTCCTTCACAGGGTACCATTAGGCCAATTTTGCTCTCAGAAACATTTTGGCCTAGTGAGATGACTCACAAGTGTAATCCTAGCACTCGGGGAGGTCGAGGCAGGTGGATTGCCTGAGTATATTGGTCAGTGCCTGTAGTCCCAGCTACTCAGGAGGCTCAGGCAAGAGGCTGAGTCTAAGAATTTGAGGTTGCTGTGAGCTATGATGCCATAGCACTCTACGCAGGGCAACAGAGTAAGACTCTGTCTTAAGAAAACCTGTAATTATATTCATAAAAATTTAAATTGGAAAATTATCCTGATCATCAGAATTGTCATAGCATCTGATACTTCAATATATGGAAATAAAGTCATAGTTTCAGAAATGGCTTAAAAAATAAATTATAAATACCAATTTTTTTCCATTTTATTGTTTTGGTATCTAAAAATTTCAATAGCATATTTCCTTCTTATAAAATTGAACATTATAAATGTATATTATAGAAAGTAAACATTCTCTGTACTATCATTCCCTAAAGTTAACTTTTTTTTTTTTTTTTTTGAGATAGAGCCTCAAGCTGTTGCCCTGG